CCAACACACAGTAGCTATAAATATTATTGTTCTGATTAAACAATATTGGGTTCTAAAGTCAAACTGAACTAAAAACCAAAAAGGCGTGCAGAATAGATGCTCAGGGTTCAACACGGGGGCTTGTTTCAGCCCACCCTCTCTGAAGTTTGAAATAGCAGAGGAGGCCTCCAGCCCCCTTTCCCAGGTCTATCCGCTGCATCACTGGGGCTAGAGACCTGCTAACCTGTAAACATCATGACGACCAAGGAAGGAGCCGAGACAAGGGCTGTGGGAATATCTGTGGGTTGGCCAAAGAACGGAGGCCTTGACTAGACTTGATTATGGCAGTCTTGGTCATAACCTTGAAGGCTGTGGATAGGGGAGGGGCACGACGAAAGGAGTACTTTAGGTAGATCACTGCGGCAACATCAAAAGAGGAAAAGAAGGCAAAAAGACCAGCTATTGGCAATATCTGGGGTTAGGACTCCAGATATTGTAGCAGAGAGAATGTGAAGGCTGAAAAATGGCTAGGAACTTGTCCTAGGAGGATGCATCCCACCCCCACCCTCAGAGAGTAGTGAGGAAGTTCAGGATCTGCAGACAAGTTCCTGTGGCCACTTCAAAGAATCAAGGCTCCTCGGCCACCTTAGAGCCTCCTCCCTTTGCCTGCGAGGAGCCTCAGCCAGCATGGAAAAGACACTCTGGAAACAACGTCACACCCAGCCAAAGCTAGAGGGGGACAATCTTCCTACGGACAATAACCAGTGGTTTTGTGAAACGTCCAATTCAAGAAGCACCAGCTTTGAAGAGATGGAAAGTTCACTCCTAGGTATATACCCCATAGAATTGTTCCAAAAAAAAACCTTATATACACATTTTCATAGCAGCAAAATTCACAATAACCAAAAGGTGGAAATAACTCGAATATCAATCAACTGACAAGTAGATAAACAAAATGTGGTATATCTGTACGATGGAATATTATTCAACCACAAAAAGAAAAGAAGGTACACGTTACAACATAGATGAACCTTAAATACATTATGCTAAGTGAAAGAAGCCAGACACAAAAGGACAAATATAGTATGATTCAATTTATATGAAATATCCAGAACTGGCAAATCCACAGAGACAGAAAGCAGTCGCCAGGGATTCAGGGGAGGGAATATGCGGGGAGTGACTGCTTAATGGGTACAGGCTTTCCTTTGGGGGTGATGAAAATCTTTTCGAACTAAACAGAAGTGGTGCCTGCTCAACATTATGAATGTACTAAATGCCACTGAATTGCACACTTTAAAACCTTAAAATGGTGAATTTTATGTTATGTGAATTTTACCATAATTAAAAAAAAAGATGGGAGGTGGCCCATCCAATCCCCACCCATGGGTGACTACTGGGGCTGAGGAGCCCTCCCCAAAGGTTTCCTAGTTACCTTTCCCCCAAGCGAGGAGGCACTCGTATAGAGCTGGGGAAGGAGGAAGATTTTTATTCTCTGTATCTGTCTCCATGAACCCTGACCAGTCACCCTGTGCCCGTCACTGAGATTGTATGCACACACTTACTCATTCCGACCTCCAAGCTTTTGCCATACATCCCCTTCCCCTACTCTCCTCCCCAGACCCTAGGATTCCCGCTGCACCCCTTGCCATCTACCCCATCTCTGCAGTTCCCTTCATGTCCAGTTCACATCTTTCCCTGATCCCTCATTCTGACCTCTGCCCACACACATCTGGGATTTCAACAGTTCAACCAAGCATTTGATCCCATTCCCTCCCTCAGCCTTGTCTTTTCAAGTAGATCTTGAGCCCGTGAATATACAAGGATGTCAAGAGCCCTCACTTCTGAGCCAGGCACACAGCAGCTCTTCATAACTGTCTATTGGTCCTAAGCCAAAGCTATACCTTGGACCTCTCCCTTGTACACTCCTAAACCAACAATACTCAGACCCCAGTGGGAATTACCAGCAGTGGAGTGAGGTCAGTGTGTCTCCAGGAAGAAGACGGAAGTCTACCACCTGACAGGTGATGGATGAGCCTTGTTTCACATCAGCCTGACAGCCAGACCAATCTTAGATCTCCAATGAGTCCCAGAGTCCCTATTATACCAGGCCTCTTCCAGTTGTTCTCATAAAAATGGTGAGAAATCAATAGAGATTGCAATTATAGGAGAGAAAAAAAATTGAGAGTTCCCAGCCCCCAGATAAGAATTAGAGCTGAATTCTGGGTGAGTACCGAAACAATCCCAGCAGAACTCTGGGTGGAGAGTCTTAGAATCACAGCCAGTATCAATGTCAACAACAATACAAATGGAATGGATTGACCACTAACATATCAGAGAAGACTCCTAGGTTAGAAGGTAATTTGGAGTGAACACTAAAATAATCACAGAATGAAGCTGGTGGCTCTAGTAGGGTGAGGAGAAGTCAGGCTGAGGAGGAGGATCGGTGGACACTGGATGAAGGATGGAGGGCACCCATAGATGCCTTCATGGGCATGCTCTGATCGTTCGCCTTAGGCTTAAAAGGAACAAAATCAAAATTCTCATGGCCACCTCCAGGAGGTGGGTAGGGGCAGGGGAGAATGGATTTTGGTAAATCAAGCCTGAAGAGAGATGCTCATGGGGAAAGAAATAACCAGGAGAGAATTTATCCATCATTTATTCCCAAGGAAGAAGAAATGAACCCTGAAAACCAGGGAGGCAGCAGAAGGGCAGCTTCCCAAGCCAGGTAGGTGGGGCGTCAGGCAGAAGAGGAAGCTAGGGTGGAGTCCAGAAGGTGAGAGGGTCTCAGACCCTCTCCTGCCCACTTCCTCCCTTGCCAAAGACCCCAGCCACAGAGAGTTCACATCCCCACAATCCCAAACTTTAGGTAAAAAGAGGTGCAATCATGAAAGCCCACTGTGGGCTTCCCTAGGGTCAAGGATGAAGCAGGCCCTTTTCGGGCAGTTTGTGAGCATTAAAGCACCAAGCCACCTCACTGGCCTCGAGCTAACCCCACCCTTGAAGAACTTAGCCTGGCTTTGCCGCCTTCTCATGACTAACCCACTGAGTAACTGGGCCAATCACTGTCCTTTTTCTTCATTCTTCTCACTTGTAAGGGAGGACACTGAACTGGATGCCCACAGCTTCCTCCATCATTGGGAATCTGTTTCCAACACTCAGAAACAGCCTTTATACATGTTAATACTTACAGCTTATTTCGGATTATAAAAAATAATGCTTACTGTAGAAATATTAGAAATGAGCAAAATATAAATAAGAAAAGAAAAAATCTTACGTGATCCCATTACCTAGAGGAAACCATTGTTGATCTTTTGGAAACTTTCTTTCCATGGTTGATATTTTTTGGCATTCATATCATTTTTTTAACAAAATTAGGATCTTACAATCTATACAATTTTGTATCCTGTTTTTTCAACTGTCATTATGCTGCTGTGAGCATTTTTCCGAGTCATCAAATATTCTTCAAAAATACCATTTTAAAGATTGCATAATACTCCACCAAGAGGATGTACCATGATCACAGGGCTTTTAGGTTCTTTTCCTGTTATAAATAACACTTCCATGAACATCTTAGTATAGTACATAAGTATTTTCCTGCATCTCCATTTCCGTAGGATCAATTCCTCTAGGTGGAATCACAGGGCCAATGAGTATATTTCAAAAGGTCTTGACATGTACCGCCATATTAATTTCCAGAAAGACACAACAAACCCATTGATTTTCCCGGGCCGAGTGAGAGCTGAAGTTCTGAAAGAGTTGGAGTTAGAATGCAGGACGGTGGTCCCGTCTCTCCTCCTCTCCCCCAGTCTTGAAGGTTAACTGTCCAGCAAAAGAGAGGACAGAATTCCAAGTCAGAAGATATAGGTCTGAAGCCTAGCTCTGCCTCTCACTGGCTTTGGGAACCTGAAACCATTGCACCTTCTCCTCAACTGTAAAATGGGTCTGATTAGCACTGCTGACTGCCCAGACCAGTTTCCTTGCTCACAGGAAAAGGTGCCTGTGAAACTTCTTGGTAACTGTCAATGCTTTGTCAAAGGGCATCACTACAATCCTTTTCATAACCTGGGGGCTGAAGAAGTGGGTTGTTCTTTACGAAAGCCGGCGGGCCTCCCTTCCTGACTCTTAGCCATCAGAACGCCCAGGACAAGTGCTGGCTAGTTCTGAGGGTGTTGGAAAAGCAGCTCCCTGAAGGGAATCAGTAAGGTCTGAGGGCCTGGGAGGACCCAGCTGTGTCTTGCAAAGGTCAGAGACAGCACTGGAAGCTGCAAGGCCAAAAACTGGGCCTAGGGCCTCCCTGAGGGTTCTAGGTGGGTCAGAGATTCAGAAGGCAAAGCCTTTCCTGGTAAACCTTCCTGTTTCAAGGCTCCCAGCCCTTTCTTTCCAGGGTTCTAACTGGACTTCTGGCCTTTGGGGGAACCAGAAACCAAGATGATTCAATGGACGCAAAAAGTCAACAACTGCAGAAGACCCCAGAGACCATCAGCTCTGGCCCCTTCTTCCAGGCTGCTCTGAATCATTTCTGGATCTTTTGGACCCTTCAGTTAGAAATGCAACTAGTGCTTCCAGCGTGACCTCTCCAACCCTGGGCAGATGAAAACGGAGACTGTGGGGTCTTCCTTGAGAAGCACAGCTGTAGGGCCTGAGCCTCCTGCCACACTGCCCTATCCAATCCGCAAATGCCCTTCCTCACGCCTGCACGCTCGCCAAGCATCATGGCCTGAGGGGACTCCAGTGACGTTCCCAGTGCTGGCAGGGAGAACTGCGCAGACCCCTCCGAACGCCATCCTCCGGGTTGCCACCATCGCCACCGCCCGCCCCCCCCCTC